ATTAAGGGCAAAAAGTCTATGACCCACTGCTCAGTCTAACTGCTGAGCAAAGGCTTTTTCTCACACGGAGCATTTACCACTACATTTGCTTGCAAGTTTAGTATTTAAAGCTTTAAGAAGATATACAACACATAAAGCATAATATTAAAGTTTAGGAATAGGGTCGCTTCAATACTTTAACTCCATATACTCGTAAGTATTATGATTTCGTAAGATTAAGTATGACATAATACAATAAGTTTAATACTGTTTTTATTTATACAGTTGAACTTGTTCATAATAAAGGAGGAGAGTCCAGCACAGAATTTTGAATTTAGAATCAACGATAAATATAAGGGTAAATGTTAAATTATGAGGAATAAAAGTGGCAAAACTCTTTATTTATGTTTATTACTTTCCACTGTTCAGTTGTTGACTCTTAACTGCCAGTACCATGTACCTAAAAAAAATCCTAATTAAATATTGTTTAAATGTTGGCAAGTAAATAAGGCAAGTGCAGTTATATGCACGATCTTTTTAACTTAGGTACAACACGAATGTTATATACATAATAGTCATGTTCCCCAAACACGAAAATTATTCGATAGTCGAATAATAATATAAAATAAAAATAAAATAGATCGAGTTAACCGATTAAACAAACTCAATATTAAGAAAACAGTCTCAAGTTTAAATACCATTTGATTGCATTAGCGACTTTATTATGTAAGCCATTACCTTATTGTTGTTTTATATTTAAACTCATGTGGGTTTGTAAAACATCAATTAAAAGTAAATAAATTGGAAAATCTGATCTTTTAACGTCTAAGTACCTACATATAGCATCCTTTTATGCTTTATCAGTCACAGCTAGCTTCATAAGAATCTTTGAGCAAATTCCATATCTTTTTATTAAATCTGTTTCACCATTAAGACCCAGATACGTCTAATGTTTATTTAGAAAATTATTTATTGTATTTATGTGAAAAAAATACACTCGAATGTAACTTAATATTCGAATTAATGGCTCAAGTTTTGGTATAATTATTTTAGGCTAAAAAAAGTGATCCTGTAATCCGGTTTTCATTGATTTTCGTCAATTCCATTCTCTTCTTTACGTAAATAGTGAAAATATTTTAAATTAATCGTTAGATATCCTAGGTTATAAGCTAAAAAAGTGCAACATAAATACAGGTGAGATAAGCAATAAACGATAACATATTCAAAGTGAACCTATTAATATGTGATATGAAGAAAAACCGCGAGTTACCAGTGAAAGCCGAACCGAGGCACCTGGGCCCTGCGTGTGCGCATCGACCTGTTCGTCGAACGTGCGCTGATAACCGCCGCCGCAGTACTACCAACTCGAAAGTGATTTAGATATTGTCTCTTAGGTACAAGCAGCCCTGCAGTGTCGCTGTGTGCGTGTGTGGTCAAGGTACTATCAATACTTGCTCAAAGTAAACTCTAAAAATTAACCAAATAATAATTTAATCTCTTTTTTAATTCTTATCAGTCACACAATAATTATCTTAATACTGTATTTATTACTTTAGACTTTAGTTACATTTTTTCCTGTTTCTTAGGCCAATGTGAAACCGGGATTTTTTTTATATATAACAGATTTACCTCTATGCTCACATAAAGTTATTGGTTCAAGATTAGTTCTCACCATAAACTATGACTAGCACGTTGATAATATAGAGTTACTTCGTAGAATATATAATTTGGAAACGGAAACTAGTAAACTAGCCCTCGTTATCAGTAGCGCAAGAACCTAATCACTTTCATTGCAACCCCGCGAAGGAGGTCGCGGGCCGCGCGCTATCACACACGCAGTCCGTCCCGCGCAGTGGGTGCGCGCAGGCGTGCGCCATGACAAGCCCGCGCCGGCTCCGAGACGACCCCGCGACGTGACCGAGACCAGGCGACACCGCTCCGCACGACCCCCGGCAGCAGCCGGGAATGGAGGCCTGCTGCGCGATCACAGCTGCCGAGGACCTTGTGGGCGACCAGGTACGCCCGACCGGCCCGACCCAGTGCTTGCCTGCTGTCACCCTAGTTGTTAGTGCTAGTGCCGCTCCGACCAGCCCGTTCCGTATGCGATCCCATTTGGTTTCTAGTGACACTCATCCTAAATAGACAAAGCATGTTTTCGGTGGGCACCATTTTTATGTTTTTCGAACAGTGTTTTATTCTCAATTGACTATTAATGCGTTATAAATTTAAAATAAGTAGTTATTCTTTAAAAAAAGTTTGTCGATTATACGTCATACTTAACAAATACTAAGTTGACATTAAAAAAAATCATATTTGTAACTAAAATACAATAATGAAATCCATGATTCAGGCGTATTTCATAAAGTGTCTAAATGTAAAGCGTCGGGCGATCGCTCGGGTCTTTAAATCTAGGCTTATTTTCAGTTGGGTAGTACATATTTAGTTTAGTGTATGAATTGTAATTTTTGTGTAATACCTTCAGGCGCGGACCTATTCTATCCTAGATTGTAAATATAATATTCAGTAATTTAAAAGTGCAGCCATAGAAATAAAACCTAACCTTTTGTTTATTATAAATATCTGTCTCTTCAAGGATAAGGTACTTATTAGTATAGGCTATATTTAATAATGTAATTATATCATAAAGTTTACTATATCTGTCGAACACAGTGTTACAAGGAAGGTTGTAGAACAGAATCATAGGTGAATTTTATCAGCAAGGTAATTGTTTTTAAATCTGCATTCCTTATAACAAATACACTGTATGTAGGTACCGTACCTATGTAAATTCGCGGTGTACCTATCAGCGCCAAAAATGTGCGGAAAACTATTTAAAATTGACTTCTTAATTTGCTTTAACAATTGAGTAATAAATATGAAATATTATTTCGCCATAAAACATAGAAATTTGACGAAAATGACAAAAGTATATAAAACAATATAGATATTGTTACCTACTTGTTAATTACACTAGTAAAATGTTTAAGTAATGTATTTATATTCATTATATTATTGTTTTCGGGTGTTACTCGTTGTTACAATTGAAAATTAAACAATTTCAAATGGTCTGCTTACAAAAGACATCAACGCCGACCGACGCCGACGGCAAAATATATCCGTGCCGTACCACCCTGTGTATTTAAAAGTCTAAATATTATTAACATTCATTAAACTTAGTTTTAAAATTACAATAAATCAACAAATAAAGAATAAATATAAAAATAATAAATAAATATCGATATTATTTATAAATAATGTTGATGCAAACAAACTAATATTTAAAAATATAATTATAATTTGATCGTATTTTTACATAGTGATTAAAGAATTAATCTTAATTACAGTTGGTATTTAAGTTAGCAATTTTCGCGTGCCGCTCTTAGAACCGCGTCTATTTATATTGAATGCTATAATTCTGCTGGTATGCAGTAAACTAGCAGGCAATTTAAAGTATCTACTTAAAATTGAGTAACATTTGTCAAAATTATGCTTTTATGTGCACGCTCAAAGAACTGAACGATACACCTAACAAATAGTGGCAAAAGTCAATGGAGCAATTAAAATTATAGAGTAAACTGGGGTTATGTACTTACATGTGTTTCGAAGTGCTGTCAATGTGTAATGTTCGTTTAAATTCTTTACAAAATATTCGTGTTTATGTACAAAGAGTTTATTGATAGGCCGCGGGGCACAGAACACCGGCCGCGCAACTTTTCAAACTGAACTTACTCGTACCGAACGGAACATCCGATTTTTCTATAGATTAAAATACTGTTAGCATCGTCTGTCGTGAGCGACTCTCAATGGACTCCGAAACCTCTCATTTACATAAAGTATTACTGCATTACAAACATTTAATTCTACATGCCTTTTATGTGCTTTCCAAAATGGAGTAGGTACTTAATAAGGATCACATTTTTAAATATTTTCTTTGATATTCAAAAAATATTGCTAAATTTGCTTTTGACTGGTAACAATTATATATTGACTAACTACATATCTTTGTAATGAAAAACGATAACTTATAACATTACAACTCCAAAATTATTTTCAGCTGTTCTTAAGCTTAAAGCGCAATCATCCGTAATATTCTGTAAAAATCTTGCAGACTTAATTGGCACAAATAGTTAAAAACTGTATGTGTGGAAAATGAAACCGTTCTTGAATTGTAGTCCCTTCTGGGATAGTGTCATACATAATATTATTTATGCTTATAAGGCCTCCATCCCGAGCAACATGTTTCCTAGCTCCATTCTGACCAATAATTTGTAAGATTATCGCAATAACATTATGCTAATCTTCCGTCCCCTTTTATTTATTATATAGAACGTTTTACATGCACCATTAAATGTTCATATCCATAATATCTTGTTAACACTTTCTAAGCTATATATGCAACACTTAGTAATTAAATTTAGTCAGTAATATTAATTTCAAGTTTATGTACTAGTGAACGATATGTAATTAGGGTTCTATCTTAACGTTTAATAGCTAGACATTACTATGCATTTATACTGCACTGTATAATCGAGTGTAGTCAGAGTCAGTTGTCTAGTTTTCTTGTAAATGAAAACAGGATTTAATATAAAATTAAACAACTCATGTTTCTAATTATGTGGTATTTGTAACACCATACTTTCTTATCTCAGCTTAAGCTATCATCGTTTTGTATTGTAATACTAGCCTCTGCGAGCTGCTTCGTCCGTTTTTACACAGTATCAGAGTAAAAAGTATCTAAGTAGTCTAAGTGTTTTTCCAGACTGTAATTTATCTATCTCTATGCCAAAATTTCATTCAGATCTCTAAATCTTGAAGAGATTTTACGTGTAGCAAAAAACTTCACCTGTCCATACTTACTACCATTAGCATTAAGCGCATAAGGAATAACTAACTTCAATATCAATAAGTATATAAGATCCGTAAATGACTTGTTTAAACACCTAATAATATTATCAATTTATTTATTATTCAATTTGAGTACTTTATAATTTAGCAATTAAAATTATTGCGGAATTAAGACGATGTACCTAGTAGAAATTAATGCCACCGAAAGCAGGGGCGAGCCGTAAGTTTAGAAAACTTTTAAGAATACAATAAAAAAATAAAAATTTTGCGTGAAAAGGAAGTTTTGGATAGATATGAGTGAGTTATTCTATTATTTGGATGTATTTCAAGTTCATCGCCATTGAAAATGTTAACATTTTAGTTATATTAGTGTAGTTGTGACAACTACTCTAACATAATGATAAAAAGATACGTCCCTATAATATTAAAGTTGTTTAAAGAGCCTCTGCGAGTTGGCTTCGGCCCCTCAAAGGTTCGGGATCCTGTGGTCCCGTGAAAAGAAAAGAACATGATGATATGAATGATATTTTGCAGTTTCATTGACAACAATTTAAAGAGTGATTAACTCAAAAAAATATATTTTCAGTACAATCAACAACTATACCACCTATGTAATTGATTTCCCAAAAAACCCGTCTGGTTGTTAACTAATGCCTCGTTTACGCATCCCGGAGCGCTTTGAGGGTTCTTCATACATTGCAGCAAGAAGCCGCAGTACTTTGCAAACACAATGAACCTTATGAGCAATGTATTAGGGACCGCAAGATACGCCACGAAACGCGCCGTGTTCGCGTAAACGAGACCCAACTATTTAAATCCTCTTCTCGTGTATCTATATAATTTATTAAAATAGTTTTAAGTACTATAGAAACAATAACGTTGCAGATTGTCCCGGGCGGCGGTCGTTGGGGTGCTCCACACGCCGCCGGCCTAGTCGACTCCTGGTTTCAGATGCAGGTTAGTAAATAAATACATTATGCATAAGATAAAAAAATAAATGCGATATATCTATAATTTAAGTAAATCATTTTCCAAAGAATTCTTCGACGGTACTTAATCGTGAAAAAAATTAACTTTGTCACTGTAGGAAAGAAACTATTGTGATTTTCTTCTCCTGAAATCATATCTTCTGATTTATAAGAATACAAGATCGTTATTCATATGACTGAGGCTTCAGTGTTTTGGTGTTTTCGTGGTTATATATAGTGTAGATCCTGACTTATACACGCCTAACTCAAACCTCACTCGAATATAGAAGATATTTGTGAAAAATACTTTTGTGAACATAGATATAAACAAACATTACAGGAACAGAAAGAAGTTTTCTCTAAATTGTAGTAAAAATATGCAGGTAATGGCACTAATTGTCGACACGTACAAAACATATTTCGATTTTAACTATTAGTATGTTTGTATGTATGTACGTACCTATGTAATGCCTGTAGAATATTACCTATAGATACTGTTAGGATAAAGCTTACAGCAAGATAATTGTCAAAGACAAAACACCTTTTTTTTAAGAAAAAGTAAATATGTCTGCGTCAAGTAAATGACAGTCATACTCACAGTAATTCAATGGTTACTTAATTCAGTCAGTCAAAATCGTTACTAAGTAATAGTCAGAGGGATCATTATGTTTTAGGACAGTTGATATGCATTCTTTCTCAATGAAACAATTCCTTGTGGAAATGTTAAAATTATGATAATTCTTCATCATGATCAGCCTGATTCCAACAACTGCTCAATGTTCAGCTCTTCTCATCCAACCACTTAATAATTATTAATAAATTTAATTTTAAACAAATTTTGTCTATTTTGTAAAATCGCTGCTAGTTCAGATATTCTCTTTGATAAAAGATCAGCTATTCTACTGATAAGTTACCTATCAAATAACATTTGTAGGTCTATTTAATTCGTGAAAGAATCTATCCTATAGATAATAGTTTGTTTTATAATAGTTCAATGTTGAATAACTTGTATCTATTGGAATGTTGACTTGTATTCATTGCAATAACTATATATATAATAACGAATTAATCATTTTCAAGCACATTAAAAAGCACTTAGTTTTTGGTTTTGGCAAACATATTCTAAGGGAAAACTGAGAAGAATGAACTTCTTCAATCATATATTTAATCACATTTATAGAAATTAGTTACACGTTGTCCTCACTTTCAGTGTCGAACCGAAATTTGTACACAGGACTACTTTTTTATAATAATATCATTGGGAATGCCTTTGCTATGTGGTGCGACTTTGATTATCTTCCAATTACAAGAAAATTTATTGAACGAAATAAAACGTTTATCCTTACAAAAATTCAACAGGCGAACACTGAAGAACCGACAGGAATACGCCAATAGAATGGAAACGTAATGAATAAGCACACTTTACTTATACGGTTAACCGACAATAAATGATGATTTTGTACCCTGCACAGGAAATCTTAAGGTTATTTTTTAAATGACTCATGTTATTGGTAATAGTGAGGACTAATTTCTATGCGGCACACGGCAGTGACATTGTCACGTATAAACGACATGTGCGTATATCTATTTACGTACATCTAATAACAATAAATGTGTTTGTATCACAAGAATGCGTCACCGTCGCTTATCATTTATCTAGCGACGTCCGCGTCTGAGCTTTGCAGTGCTTTCCCTTCATAGATTGACGATAGAAATAATACATTGTAGACAATGTGTCCTTGAATTTTCCGCGACATCTCATCCATTAATCTCTTTAGTTCTGCGAAGATACAGCTAGTTTAATCTGATCTAAGAACAATTTATTGGTTGACATCTATCTTTAAATAAAAGGGAATTAATTGAATGTTGCCTGCTTTTATCTGTATATAAACAAACCGTGATTTCTCGTTCCGAGATTAATATGGGTATCTGTGATAATCTAGTGTAATTAATTTGTATCGTTAACTACCTAAATCTTTGGAATACAGCGGGCTGGACATTTTTACGATAGTATGTTTTTGGTTGGTTGCTCTTTATTTGGGCTTTCCAATCCAGCTAGGTTCTGAAATACCGCAGGACTGCAAAGTCGACATTAAACCAAAGTCAAGTATGCTCCCGCTAAGCACGTTTGAGATCTCATCATATTCAAGTTGCTTTCTGATACTTTATTACATTCTACGTTACACCTAACATACCACACCGCCTGCTCCTACGCCATGCGTCGTCAAGGGACTCGTAGAACTTTAGGAGTTAATTAATAACTGTGGATGATCGAGTAAGCTTTAACACAATATACTATTTTAATTTACAACATTAATTTAAGTTTCTGTTGAAATTACACCGAATTTCGAACGAATAATCAATTACATTGTCATGACTTAATTTGCGGCTGTTAGCTTGCTAAATCGGTTTTAGTAAAATTTAATTAGGTTGGACGATAGACACGGCGGTAGTTGGAATACGTGTACAGTTTAGTGAAGCCAAAATGTTTGAAAGCAGCTAACTGACAGATTACACCAATTTACACGGAACATAACATGTGGAGACACCATTGTCAGGGAGCAGGCACCGTGGCACGTATGGGAATCTGTATTGTGTAATGTGGGGGCTAATAGAGCATGGCAATTTCGGTTTGTACGCTTAAATTATGTACGGCCCTTACCAGAGACCATCGCCATCGGAAAATGTACAGTAAGCAGGTAGTAAAGACTACCTCATGCCACTAAAAAGGTTTCTAAAATGTAAGAAACCATTATTATTCTTATTCTCACCTTCTGAAATTCAGTAACAGTACTTCAAAAAGTTTCGCAACGTAAGGTTAATTAAAGGCATTTGTAATAATAATAATTTCGTTGAGTATATGTACAACAGTTTATACATACGTCCTTGATACGTTTGTATTTAGTAGTAAACTTAATAACCATATGGGCATATAACTTGGACCTCTTAACATTATATTCTTACAAAAAGTTACTTATTGCCATGAAACTTAATGTTTTTTGCATTTGACTAATTTTTAGAATTAAAAAATAAAAACATGTAACAAGACACGATGTAGCAATACATAATTAGCAGAAAACCATACATTACTTTAGGCAAAATGTTTTAGTAAAACTGAATAAAGTAACCTTTAGACGCTGTAAGTACCTATACTTTATCATACACCGTTGTGTAACTTGAAACGATAGCAGCTTTAATAAAAAAAATACTAAATTATTGTATTCCCAGCAGGTATAGAGGGTATAAACCCCAATTACGGTCGCTCACACAAAGACGACCTTTAAAAATGAGTCGTGTGTTAATGCTGAGAGCGTCTATATTGTAATGGACACATGTTTTAGCGCATCATTGACACATCCCCTTTATTTTTTAAGGTCAAATCAATCAACTCAGCTTATTTTATGAGCTAAGTTTTTTATTTAATTACTTTCTTTGTTGGAATATTTGACAACGTATAAATACATTTTCTGCTGCTTTTTATGTGACATGACAATTTCAATTAGTTCTTATACTTGTAACAAATACGCGATGTTCCTAAATGAGTAACCAAGTTTGATTGAGTTAATTTACCCTACAATACTGATACACGACAAAGTTTTGGTCTTGGGATTAATTTAATCACTACACTTCAACTTTCATTTACGTATCGCCTACATATATAATGTATTTACGTAATTCAATGTTGCGAATAGATCCTCATAAGGGAGGAAATACGAAGTTGTATAGCGCGGTAGTGTTGTTATCACTAGTATTGATTACAGACCAAGCGGTCATTTAACCGAGTTTTTTAACGCCTGTCTATAAGTAAACGTAAAATGGAAAGTTAGTTTTTCCTACAACGCTAAACGTAACGCTTGCGTTATAATTTTAACTTGATAACTATGATAGCGGTACTTAATAGCTCAACGAATATAGCGCGAATTAGAACGCTCTTATGAAATTCAAATATAGAATTTATTATAAAATAACGGTGGGAAATGACTCGTAGGCAGAGACTCCACCGCCGCTTTTCTAGCATTCTGTCATGACTTCAATTTTTGCATTAGATGACTCAGATCCTAGATTCATGTCAGATAGTTAAGACTGTGGTAAAAGCTCGAAGGTTAAGCTTCTCTAGCATGAGAAGTCATGAAGGAAAACATCACGCCTTGAGCAAGTGTGGTGATCCATGCTTATTCCACATAAGTAACAAGACGAGGTATTTGACCAGTACTAATAACTGTAGGTATATAGGCTGATACTTATATAAATAAGAAGTGCCATATAATAAGGAGGAAAAAATAACAAATACAATGGCCATAACCACGCATGAAACAATGTATTTGCTTCTTAATGAAGTATGTACTTACAAAGAAATTACATGAACGTTTCATATTTAATTATAAGTAAAAAATACGTTAAACAGTAAAGTATAATGATACATTGATATTCGAATAACGAAACAATTCGAGCCTATTAAATTTTTACGACGATGTGACATCATTAAAGGTTATAAAAATACAAAAAGACAATCATATCAACCGGTCCTGGGTGAATAAGATTGTTTTATAAAATCCGTACTATGGGATATTAAAGTCCACTGGAGTGTGTAGAGGAAGTCGCAAGTTTGTCGTTATTAGTCCGAGACCACTCATGCGCAAACGCCAAGTAGATTACACAAATACACATGCACACAAAAAATACATATGTATGCTTACTATTACACACATTATTGTATTTTTGGGTAATTTTCGGGTGAGTTTTTATTCTACAACAGGGTTCTTTAGAAGTTGTATAGTTCTTAATTTTATTACCTATAATTACTAATTTATTTACGTATCGCTAAATAGTCAATACTTACAGATTAACTAGAAAGCAGTTCAATGTATGTATCTACTGAAACCATAATACCACTTTTCCATTAAATGTTTTTTATTCTTTTTGCCGTCGGTACCGTGTGTAAAATAATATTAAACGCACCATTAGAGCTGCGCGCACTGTGACATCGGCCATTGTTCGGGTTCGCAGCGCGGCGCGACTCTATGATTTTTCTATTCCAGAACATAATTGTGCCCGCCCGACGTATCTTAAACATCGTTGTTTTTGCCCAACGAACAAAGAAACTAAGCTGTTCAACGCATTATACACGTAATTTAAATTAGGTACTTACCAAATATGTCCTAATTAAAATGTAGGTACTAACGATTATATCTATGTTATACATATGGAAGTACCTATAAGTACATGCAATTTTTATTTCTTACCAGAATAGAGAAATTAGTAAAGCAAGAACATTTGATCTGATTCAACATACGTTGATCGTTTCATAATAATATTAAACTTTAAACTGAAAATTTTTGCAAGGCCGTACGCCTGCCCCGATTTTGGTGACGACCTACAGCTACCAGCGGCCACCATCAGCACATCAGTCATTTATTTTTATTAATTATTTTAATGGTAAAACAAAAGATACAATTGATTAGTCATCAAAAACGATTTTAATGTTTTATGTATAAAATGTTTAAGTTATGTATATGTTAATGTGCCCGTTAAGTAATAAATTAAGCTTAATTATATGCGACCGATTGATGATTATTATTATATGTATAAATAAGTTTCGTATGAATCATCTCATTTATCATACTTGTGAACATAATTATTATATCTTAGATTCAAAGGTCATAAGGTGACTTTTACTAAGAGAAACAAATTCTGTAGTAGGTAAGTATTTTGAATGCTACGCATGAAGCAATAACACTTAAATACAAAAAATCTACACATAAGTATAGGTACTTACTTAAAACATGATTATTTATTGTGAACTATATGTTTTATTACATCGATATGATGTAGTACTCAGATGAGGCTTCCGGCAACTGGGACCACAAAATCTCGGACCGCGGTCCCAGTCGCCGGAAGCCTCACTCAGGTAAGATAATAATATTTTATATTTCACATACCTACAATATAATTTCGAGACTATAAACAATAAGGAAAAAACCAACCAAAATTCCATCAATCAATTGTACTTAAAAAAGTAATTTGTAAACTTAAAATAATTCACTTCCTTCGTATAGTCAATGCAGCAAAACTATCTCTTACATATTAATAACATTTTACACTTGAGTGGTTTTACTCAGTTGCGTAAGCGCAAACATAAATGAGATTCATATGATGGGGACGGGGGATACTGAGGGGACTTGGCTAGGAGCGGGGCGTGGGGGGAGGGGGGTTATAGTGACAGGATTCACGGTCCAACTGACGGGCACAATGATCGCGCTCAATATGTGATCGATTATGCCATTATGTATAGCTACGTACACCGTACACACAACACTGAGCGTATATATTGTTATCCTCCATCCTATGTAAGCGCCATCTGAATTCAGTTTGTAACATTAGTCAGGAAAACTTTCTGAAATATTTCCCCACTAACAATATTCTTTAATATTAAAGTAACGCTGCTCAAGTTTTTCTAGCTTTTCGATGATATACCAAGCAAGTATTATTTATACAAACCATTTTTTCTTAGTTCATTTAGATACCAAATATTGAAGGCCGTAATTGTTAGGAGATCGCAATTGATTTTATTATAGATTATCCTGTATATTATATATGTATATTGGTAATCTGCGTTAGGCATGATGCCTTGTCTGCATAAAGAGACCCCCTAAAAGTGGGACGGTTTACAGGCTGATATTTGTGTATCTGCGTACCTAAGTACTCAAAAAATCGTTTAAGATTTTCCGCACTTATGACTAATTATGTTGATTAGTTAGGTCACTCCTTATGTAGGAGTGACCTAGAAACCTCTTGGAAGGTACATACGTAGTGATGTACTTTATTTTCTATAATGGCAATCCATGAACGCTGTAGTTCTCATACCTCGTACCCATTGCTGACGAGTAGATTTACATTGATCTAAAAAAAAATAGGGCTAAGCACCTATCAACCAAACACTGTCATAAGAAATTAGGTACTTACGTCTACAGGTAGTTAATTTTACTCGAATGTCATAATTAATCAGAGTAATTATATTACATTACGAGATCACTGAAAACCTTTTGTATTTGAACTTAGAATATCTCTATTCTTAGACTTAGGAGGTACTCTTACTTGCTATCACTAAACTTAACCAACGGAACAGAGTTTTTACAGAACTTTAGTACAATAACTCAAGTTGTAGTTGCAAGTACTTACTTGATTACCAACAAGTATAAATCTATTGATAAATAGATAAAATCCGCGAAAACATGCCATAGCGTACACCATATTAAGCGATATGAAGGTATGGTAGATATCGCAATATCAAAAAGTAAACTCAACTTAGCCTCGGTTACTTAGAATATTTATCGCAGTAAATACACGCAGTGTTACAACTTTGAGTATCGTCTATTTACAAATTGATTCATGACTCAAAGACCATTCTACAGTTACACCGACATCAAAAGAAACATAGGTATGTTTGAAATAATTTTTGAGTACCACTTTTCACTTTATAATTTGTGTAGGTGTCGTAAAGTACTGCGTATACCAACTTTCTACGTTGTTCTCAGATTCCAGAATCAGCAGGCTCGGCACCTGACGCTTCAACTTAATCTGAGTCACAATACAGTTTAAACCTGCAGCCACCATCAATAGGAAAATAACAATAAATGATTTAGGTGTTAAATAAAAATTTTCCGAGCACCGTAAGCTTTGAGAGAGCCGTTTTATTTTCTTAAACAAAACATAAACTGTATTTGGATATGTCTAATTATTTATCGCGGAAACTATAAAAGAAGATAAATTGGACAATAAACAATGCATAATATTAAAAAAATGGAATTTATTTGGTAAAAGTTGTACAAACAGCTTTCACTAACTAGAACCAATATATTACTTAATATCTAAATATGTTCAGTGGCTCATTAAAAGAAGAATATCTTTGTTTAACTGCTCACTAACGAGTCAAATGTCATACGAATGTTGTACTTCATAAACTTACATCATCTGTCTCTGCTCTGAGTCACTTCATTAGGAGTCCATATTTTTTTACAATAGGTCATTTTTGTTATTCTACCTTCGCTGGGCCCACCAGGTTAACTTGTATCTTGTTTGTAATAACTACGTTGTGGAAAACTGTAAGCTTCTATGAATAGGTAACGTACTATTCGAAACAGATAACGGTGGTTCAAAACTTAATTATAAGCCTAGAAGTAGCGCTACACATTTCTCGATATCTTGTAATTAAATACCAATCAATATTACTGTACCCATACGGATCGGTCCTAGTTAAATATTAAAATGTAATCACATGCGCAGTTAACAATTAATATCAACAGCGATTAACTATAATTGAATTCTTATGTGGAATATTCTCTTTTCTGGATTCAATTATCCAAAGAAGGCAAATTATTTGTTGTTGTGTTTTTTTTTGTAAATACCGTTTTGTAAGTATTTATTACCGGAGTTGCGGGACGATGTTGGTTTGGCGGAACAGTTGAATGATTACAAAGCGCGCGCTGGCCGCTTGTCCCCGTTCGAGACCCGGCCGCACAGGTGCACTGCCTTATTAGGACCCCCATCTCAAAACTACACTTCATGAATATCTATGGACTTTATTAACTTGCATTTTAATGTGATTTATATATTATACGTAATTATCCTTTATAAGTGCGCGTGTGTATGATGCAATCAATCGTAGCAGAGATAGAAACTGATTGATTGGAGATTGAGAATTAAATCTTGTTTAAAATCTAATAAGATTTATTGTAAAGTTGGACCATTTGTTTGAAAATATAACTTATTAGAACAAAGAAACTACAAAAAATAGGAGCATTCATTGTTGCGCAGTGTCACGCGGAAGATTGTCATTCTAGTTAAGTCAGTTGGCTGTTTGACTATTACATAGAGATTAATGGCTGGATCGCATTGATATGTACTTTGTACATTAAGACCACTCACGTCTCACTTCTTTAAGACAAAGTAAAAAGCTATTGGTTTCGCAACTTCTCTTTTGTTTAAAGTATCATTTGACATAGTGTGTTCTATTGACAAATTGTTAAGAACAAAAATGGGAGTTTGCGTAGTTATGAAGGAACAGTCTTGGAGTCGATGCAGGCTTTATTACAAAGTCTACCAAGCGCAGACAATCTAGGTTAGGGCGACGCGACGCGACCCCAAATCGATCTTGCAATCTGAGGCGAGGCTCGTGGGAGTGAGCGAGACGCCGCATGCTGACCTAGAGTAGCAGGTTGGGAATCCGGAAGGTATGAAGAAACCGGCTTCACGGTGCATTTTTCCATTCAATGGAAAGCTCTACGTATACCTTGCCAACGGATTTTTAGGGATTTTAAATTTTCTAATTATGTTTCTTGTTTTGCAATTTGAACGAAACTGGAAAAAATAATGTAGTACTGATGAAACTGCCTTTTATTCTAAATGCATGAACTTCAATATGTTCGCAACAACAGGATGCCAGCCGGCCATTTTGTTTCAATATAAATTACCTAAACTCAATAGTTGAACAAGCACTTTGATCCGCGGAAACTGTCTATCCAGTAATAAGATACTACCTGTTAAGTTTACTGATTCCTAATTTGTTAACGTAATTACGCGTAATATTAACGCCAGTTCTTTTATAGCTATGTAGGTACTTGGTCTAAGCATAACTTCTTCTATATTTATTTGAAGTACACTAGATTCTTTGGAGTCTCAATCATTAACTAACCATTTTTCATTTTTCGGGCAATGACAAACAGCACACTTCGTTTTAAAAAAATAGAATGCAATATTCAATCACAATTTGCGTGTCCGCAATCGAAGTCGAAGTCCAGTATAAATTAACGAAAAAAATATAATCTTAGATGGGTAAGCATGACGTGTTGTCCTAAATAAGCGTGTAACATAACAATTTAGCGTCGTTGAAGTGTTGATAAGGGCCGGGGAGTGCGCGGCCGCTTTCTACCCCGCGGCGCTGCCGGCGATACTACTTGCCACATTCCGCGCCCGCGGCAACCTCACACACGCCGCACATACCCGACCGCCGCCACTACGGCCACCGCCGTCTGACCAACCAACCACTAAAGTATCCTAACGCTAACTTTAAGCTAAATAATGTCCATTCATAGCGCACGTGCCGTGCACATTGCTGAATATATTATCGATATCAAAAAGTAGTTATAAAATGTAATAAAATAAAACGCGCAAGTCAGCACGCTTAGACAAATGTGCGCAGTGAATTATGATATATTCTGTTGTATATTAATGGAGGCTGGGCTTAAGTTATCGTAATGTGGGGCACGTGTCAGTTTTTTGTCGATCGCTACTCGTGGAATGAAGCAGAATGAGACTTGTTGTCTTGTGATACTACTCCGCAGTCCACCGGACACAGCTAGCAACTTTTTATTGATATACAATTAATGTCTCAAATTTTTATTGGGAAATTGAATCGTAATAATCGAATGAAACAGCTTTGATTTAATGATCGATCGCTAACGAAGTGAGCCTCCAACTAGAATCGTGATAATACGAAAGTAGTGGTTTTTGTTTATAACATTTTCGGATTGAATATTATTTGTTAATTTTGTGACCATGAAATTTATTTAATCTCCCATTTTGTTTTCTTTTTTAATACATTTGCTGACTTGTTTCTTTTATTTTATTACATTGTAGTATTGGACTTAATGTTTACAAGAATCAGATGGCTAGTTAAAAAGCATCTGCCAAGTCGGTACCTACAGCTTATTTCTTACTTTCAAAGCGTACCTAAGTACATATTATTATATTATCTAGGTAGTGCTTGTTCTTCACTTAGTTGATGAAAAAATCTTACGAACATGTCGTGTCTTTATTAGGTAAGGAATTGTGAAAAGAAAGTTAGAGTAAGACTTTAGAAATGAAATAAGCAAACTCGGTAATAAAAAAATCGTATTTATGAGTACCTATGAAATTGTTACCTACAATGAATTGTCTATTCGAAGTTGTCAACATTGTCTCGGTTCTGGCAATAGTGGGCAAGTTTCCTTCCTCGTCACAGTTATAACAGTGTCATCGACTTGGTGCCTTTACTCTATTATTTGCTTTGGTTATCTCTTATTGACACATTCAAACGACTTATCGGTCGAGTCAAGTCTCCAAAATGCCGTTTCACAAGCCACAACATGTCTCCTTTTGCACATCGTCAATAATTTTATTTTTCAATATGTTTAAAGAAAAATATTGCTGGAGTTGGCCTTGCGAGTATCATATTTTATTTTCAAATGATTCTTGAAGAAATACAGTGTTTTCATTTAATTTAAAAGCTATCTTTGTACTTAATGAAACACAATAAAATTATTTTGCTTTATGATCCTAGTTTATGGAATATCATTTGCCGCTTGTGTGTATTTAAAAACAAATACTATGAATCTAAAGAATATTGAAGTTTCTTCGCTTCATCATCTTTAGATAAAATTGTGTAAAATAACAGATCGGTGAAAACCATTAACATAAAAATGGTAGAGGTAGCTCTAAACTCTGCGACGAACGATCATAATGAGTGGGGGTATAAATACTACCAATTAAGCGTTGATTGGATGCGTTAGCGCCGTGCGGGTGTGATATTGACTTTTCTTAAAACAAAACACACCGTTACGCGAGTAATGTCGCGCGGGGCTGCCGTGCGCGTGCGCCGCGCTAACAACGGGCCGGCCCGCAACCTGCGCGCGCGCCTCTATGAAAACGATCAGGCGGTCACTATTATAGACCAGTCACTTGTCAGATATGCCAAAACGTATGTCCAAACTATGTCTCAGTCTGTAGTATACCTGAACTATGTTATATATTTTTGTTGCATTTGCATTTTGCAGAGTTAAATTAATCATTTCTCAATCGTTTTGTAGTAAGAAGATTGACACAATTGTTTGAATCGATTGTTTATTTACCGACACAAAACATTACTATCGTTTTACTTATACCAAATACCTACCTCTCTTCATCCAAATCCAGGACAAATAAATCGAACTAGGTATAACACTCCTAATAAACTTTTATACGATAAAAACAATATGTCCTCTTAAATAGCTCCAACTGTTAATGTTTTCCTTTTTGTAAGTATCTACGTAATGCGGTCGAGTATATTTACTAAAGTACGTATTAGGGCCGCTGTGTAAGCCGTGCAAGACGGACCCGTGAAGTGATGTAGGTATCTGCTCATGGATGAGTCGCCTTCGGAGACGGCACACGGCAGGTACAGCCTGATAAACAGAAACCACCGCATTACCATTAAATAGTTAAAAGCGTGCAACCAATAACTCAACCTGCCGATACGGTGCCTTTTTCGAAAACACCTAAACAATGTTGTGCAATTTCCAACGGTGTTCTTAAGTGTAAGCAAAGTGTAGGTGTCACCACCAGATAACGGCAGACGTAAGCTGATGGTGTCATGGAATTCCACTACGAACGCATTCGATGGTTGCGAAACGATATTGAAGCTTTAACAACTGAAGATTAGAAACTGTAATTTTATAAAATGTTTTTTTAAAACAGGATTTGTTTTACAACATACCTATGTTATGTATGTACTAGCTTCAGCCTGCGGCTTCTCCCGCGTGGTATGTTGAATAAAAGTAGCCTATGACCTATTCCGGAGTGTATCCTATGCCTGCCTCTGCAGATCCGCCCAGCCGTTTTGGCTTGATTGAGTAACAACATCCAAATATCATAACTTTCGCATTTATAATATTAGTAAGATGGTTGCCATATTTTGGCGAGTAACATTATAGTTTTACAAACCAATAATGTGTCCAAACATTGTTGGCATGGTTGAAAGATATTACTCCGCAATTACTAAGTTGTCAAATGTGTAGTCCAGAACAATATTTTTCAGGCAAGAGGCCCAAACATTTCGAGCTTGCAACTACAGATAAGGATGTTTATATCATATGTAGTATTAATACAATACTACATATAATATCGCTTTCTTACAAAAATCTGTTCCTTTCTGCTTCGCAATGTTCTTGTTGTTGCCGTTACCTAGTCTAATAAAGATTTCGAAGTTTGCATGATCGAAACAAAGAGAAATGGGATTTTCTCTTGATGTGTCTTGAGTCCATAGTTATAGACAACACAATATAAAAACTATACATTTACCGGCTACTTAGATACTTTTTAAATTAAAAACATTTTTAACTTATACGCCTTCAAGATAGCTACGAAAATGTCAAAGGTTACGCGAGCGATCCTGTAAAATGTCAGTCAGAAGTAAAACCTTATTACGCAGTATTGCGACGCTTACATTTTAAGCTTAGTAAACAAAACGGAGGCAAACAAATTGATAAACGAGATTTTGGGTCACAAACGAAACCGAAATGTAGTTTTGCAATACTGAAACTAAATGACAAGCAAGTGGCTGTGCAGCTTTTGTGGTTAATGTATTTGGTAGCTGAGTCGATAGGTGTAATGTCGTGACAATGGTCGGAATTCGCGAGACTCGTCGCCAGTGCGCGCCGCCACCGGTCGGTCTTGACGTCGGGTCAAACATTCTAAATGTTCCATTTGTATGACGCAATGTGCCTCGGACTGGATTTGCACTCGTCTTACCAACACTCGTATATTATATACTAACCGCTATATAAATAACGTGCTCTACCAGCGCCACCCTTCTGCACGAAACTGTTATTAATTTCTTAAATAAGACAACAATAAGTTTAACTTCTTCTTTATTTGTTAGTTTTAATACAATAATATTTGTTACTCTGCTAACTTCTCAATCAAATAACATTCGCGAGCATGACGTAATTTTTTCGGCAGTTTTTTATTATATTAACCTGACTAAAGCCTTTGAAGATGCCACTAAGTGGCAGCTAATTGGTAAAAGCGGGTTTATTGCTAGATTTTGAAGTCTATTGCTAGCTTTACACGAATCAATGACGACGGCTGTCGTACTTAAGAGTTATTGAACATGTCGCATGGTGAAGTAGTCGTGGCCGCGTTCACGATTGCAACACTACGCTGGTAGCAGACAGCTTGGCGCGCCACTTTTTTTAAAGAATATCTTTTTTCTTGACAAAAGTCGGACATGAGAGGCGGGGGCTGAAGAGGAAACCGGTCACTTTCTTTTTTATGGCCTTCGAGAAGGTAATAAATTGGATGACTGTTAGATATGAAACCTTTGGTTTAGAATTACACTGCTAGTAGTAAGCAAAAAACAGTACCTATATATGTTACAATAAATGAGAAAAGATCAGCCAATTTTTCAGAAAATGAACTGCAAATTCTGTCTCATATCAATCGCACCCTGCCCTAATCCCTCAGACAAATAATCTGTCATGTCATTTTGACCTTAACTGAAAATGTGACTATCATATCGTAAACTTATAATTTGCTTTGTACTTTTGTTTTTCACAATATAGTATTGTAGTAATCGTTATGAGTCACTAGATGTTCCCTCCGGAATAAATTAATTATATATACCTATAAAAGTAATAATTTATTTTATAGTATTTGGTACATGTATCTATATCAATATTTTTGGCGATGACTCACGCCGATCTTAGCGTATTACGCAATACTCAATACTTGTTCTACAATAATAGACACAGATTATAAACATAATACAGTGACTCAATCAAGGATTAAAAGCCACTCATTTAAATAAAGTACATTTTAATACCAATAAAAAACGCATTGTTAACTATTTGTCAATAGTTATAAGCACAACAAAAAGACATTTCAGTTTCAGTCAAACTTTCGTTAATATGGAAATCACTTTCTGTAAATATCAAACCGAACTCCTTCAGTTCTTGCAGGCTTGATCCTAACATTAGATCTTTGCTGTCTTTTGAGTATTCCAGCCTTCAGGTGGTAATGTCGATACATGTACTCCTTAGTCATCGCCTGAGCAGTGAACATGGCTCTACTGCGCCTCAGTATTTCACTCGTTGGCCCCCATTCCGAGTCTAAACTGAGTTGATCGTACAAATTATGTTTATATATACCTATACACATCTTGACTATAGTAACAAAAACCGTAAGCCCTATATTTAAAAGTAAGAAATACCACGCGACTGTATTGCCCATTGTTTCGTTTCTATTGATGTACGCTGTAAATACTTGCGTACAAAACACATATGTGAGAACGAAGCCCGACATCAGCCAGCACGCCTTCACTGACGACTTAGGTTGCACACCCTGCATAAAGTGTACATCTTCAGAGAACCTCTCTAAGCCATACCATAGAACGAAGACAAAGTTCTCACATATCACCATGAATATAGCTATTATACTCAAAGTACGTTTCGTGTCCACTAAAAAGTACATACTTATGTTTCCCAATAGGGGGAACGTTCCGAGATACATAGTGATTGCAACCACAAATGCAGTTAATCCTGGATTTTTAGCAACTTTTAAATTTCTTGTTGAAACGGTCTCTATTAAGCTCACCATAATACAAATATTCAAACCTAATGCGGATATTGCAATAAATAAAAAAGAAATAATTAACCACAATGAAGTTTGTTCATAGACGTCTATAAATCGAGGAATTTTCTCGAAAATATTTGACATTCTATAGTTCATGATGTCAATTGGCTTAATGTCATACTTGAAAGCATAAGGACAGGTCATCATTACTGTACTGAAGATCCCCAGCAGCGTAACGCAGCAGGTAATCACGACCACAATAACTGTGTTAGAATAGCATGGAGCTCTGAAAGCAGTCTTAGAAGCGCAGGCAAAAGATAGTCCAGTCCCTACGTTGAGCGTATACAACACGTCTGCTATTGAGGTTGACAAACTAAATTTCTTAATAAATGTATCCAAAGTGGTATCAAACGCTTCTTCGTACTTCACTACCAACCCCTTCTGTAACATGGATCCTATCATGAAGAGAATTCGTCCACAAGTAGGAACAACTGTAACTATAATCAAGGCCCATTTTAACGACCTTTTTCCTTTGAAGTAACTAAAGAATAACGCATTGGCAAGCAGAGCTGATGAAAGACCTACGCGCCAAGGCAAGTGGAAGCCATTTTTATTCATTCCCAATATGTTATAACGCCAGTATTGATATTCTGGAAATGTCTGACAGAGGTTAGAACAATAAGGCAATGGATGTTTTAACTTCAAACATTCTCGGTTCACAGTGTAATTGGAGTATAAAATGTTACAATCCTCTGTGCTCCAATTTCCACAAATATAATAAGGAATAGGATTTTCAAAGCTTATTAAGAAATAATGCACTATAAATGAATTGAGTGAGTAAAGATAGATTATATATACAAACTGCCAAACGACGTGAACATAGCCAAAATGTGACAAACAGGGCCTGACTTTCCACACCTCGATGCAATCACGGCCTGTGAACTGGCCTAGTACGTTCTCCATGTACATCACAGGGATCCCGATCACGACATATATCAAGGAGTAGACTATAACATATCCTGCTGCCCCCGAGGCCACGGCTGCATGTGGCAGAAACAGCATCGTATATACTCCCAATGTTTGGGACAGCAGCAGTGTAATGCTCATTCTTCTTGATCCATAGATTCGCTCATCTTCCACGTTTGACATTGTGTATTTTATTAATAAGTAATTTGTGTCATAGTTTTCACGTCTATCCAAAAATCATATTGACGACTTTGAAAACTCGTAGCCAACGTGAAAAACTACCAAAACATCAAATATGTAGTAACCGCAGCGCAAAAAGGCTAATAGGCTTTTTTGTGAGGGAAAAAATATAAAATGACTTTTCTCTCGCCCAGGACGAGGCGAGAGGAAGTGCAATCCTCTTACTAACTAAAAAGCTCCCCGTACCTTCTTCTGCTCTAGGCTGAGGCTGCGGTACCTTATCACGTTTGATCGCAATCTCGGCGAAACATCGACCCTATTGGGCCCAATTTATTGGCCCTTCGAGGTACTTTCGGAAAGGCGAGTAGGCTTGAAGCTGTTCAGTACACGAAAGCTCAAATCTTATTAAAGGAAGAAGTCTAGCAAATGCTTGATCTACAAAGAATAATTTAAAAGAAATGTTTCTAAATGTGGTCAGTTCCAATCTACTTTGTCAGTTTTTAAGTAATATATATAATAAATCATTGTAACTTTTTAATACTTAAAACCAATTGCCGAAAACATATTAACTTGATGTTAAAATTATAATTGATATGATAATTGTTACAGCTCAATAGAACCTTCGGTGTCTCCCTTACAGTGCCATTGCCATTTCTTTAATTTGTGCATTATTTATAAACAGCTGTGACTAATTTATACGTTCGTAACTCTTATAACATTAATTCTAATAATACTCTTATTATATATCTAATAATATATTATTTCAATAGAATACACAAAATCATACTATTTCTAAATTATAACATTAACTAAAACTTAAAAAATAAATTAGAATAACAAAAAGAAATCTAGTATCTTCACATTCTTGTCGGATGGTAGGGTGACCATCAACCGTCAACCCATTTTATTTATTAACATTAAGAGCTTATGACAGAGCAAAGCTGGAGCATAGATTGCGCACATATTACTTCATTGGAATAAAGAATAACCAACCAAGATACATGTTAATGTGTTAACCCAAGTTATATGGTCGAACATTAGATACAAGTGTTATGAATGCAACTCGAAGAAATCCATTTAACTTTCTCGGCCATCAAGAGTGCAGTACGCGAGCTGAAGAAAGCACTGTGTAACTTGATATATAAGTGAGAATTACAAGTGATATTATTTTATCATAGAGTAATGTTCTTCCTAGTGAGGAGAATAGCTCCCCGGGCAGGTGTCTGCGAGATAATGAAATTGCATTTGATAAACTTGCTGCAGTTTCACTTACGACGCGATACGAGACTAGGACTCGTTCCACTTGTAGCTAATGTTTCCACAAGGCTTTCTTGTTTCACCCTAGACTAGTGCGCACAACCACAGCCAATCCTATTTTATACTTTAACGACACATTTTACGCTCAGATGGCTCTATTTGCTACGACATAATATGTAAATAAGAAATACTGTTTTGATTGCGTCCGATAAGCGAGGACAATAAATTGAAACTGTTTGCCCTAAGCTTGTTGTGCTTAAGTAAACCTTTGTTTTGATCATTTTCATCAATAAATAGTACGATATTGATCAAATCACCTTCAGATCTTCCAAAAGTAAATATTGAACTTGACTTTACATAGCTTCGGATGTGTTTTGTGCTTAATAATATGATTTGTGATAATTGTGCTATTTGACGCCATTGAAGATATTGCCATCGCCATCCATTTTACTACTACATACTTACAATTGAAAATAATTGTGTCTTAAATCACCTATTGTTTTTGTAACAGCCTTTTAATCGTTTAATAGCCAATATTCTACTTTAATTAACTTTTTCTATGACGTTATGTTCGTCCACCGATTTCTTGGAAATCTGTTCGTGTGGCGTGTTTTTTTGCCGAAGTTATATTTTTAACCTTTTTATGTAAACCTTAAGGTATTTAAAAGCAATGGGCAAAATTTAAGGACTAAATTTTGGCAGTGTTTCTGTGTCCCTATCTTCAATCCAGCCATCGGAAGTCGTAGTTGTCACTAAATTGACCTACATTTATGTAGTATTTATTAAGCACATACCGATTACCAAACGGTGACAACGACAAGCACAGTGTGGAGTTGTAGCCACAATCAGCTCTAAAAGTTCAGTAATGCTACATTATCTACTTTAGTCCGACAATAGTCCTCGTTACGGACTGAAATATATTGCACAGAACGCATAAAATAATAAAAGTATGTTGTCCAGTTGTAGGAAATGCAAAAGCCGTTCGACAAGTGGTTTAAAGACGCTATCAGTGAAAAATATGCATCTTTTATTTACACAAACATTTTTATCTGTCAACGTATCTTATCAATATTTCTGCAATGTTATACCGAAGGTAGATAAAATGGTTAAAATCAACTATTTTGCGAACCCCACCTTTGTTTGGTGACCCACATTCGGTTTGGTTAATTATTTTTAACTTTACACGTAACCACGTTTTTAAACCCGTGAAAAAGATAAACAACTTTACACCTTTTTTTAAATACCAATGGGCATCAAAACAAAATAGCTTTGTTATCTTTTAAATAAACAGATATTGATATTATTATTATTATAGATACATAGTAATCATTTATGTACGCATTTGAAAACTATGAGAATTGGATTTTTAAACGACACTACTTATTTGTCAATCATTATTTCATAGGAAAACCGTTTATATAATTTAAACACGGTTTTTCGTGGTGTACGTAAAAGAAGAAACTGAGTTTAATTTAAACCGGAGTTGCGCGTGTAAGTGCAGTACCTCAGCGCCGGCCAAGAATGGGACAGGAATGAGGTAGTTTTTAGGCAGTAAGTCTGACACTCCCAAATGCCCCAAGCAGGGCAGCAGACGCTGAAAAAAATATATTTAAAGAAACTTATGTGATGTCGTACTACAAGGATTTTAATAATACCTTTCAATTTTTTTTTTTAGAAACAGCATAACTACTGAATTTTGGCATAACTATCTGTATCGAATTGAATGAAAATTCAAGAAGATACAAACGTATTAATGTAGCGTACCTAATAATAAATTACTTATTTAATCTCCACATTATGTATTTACACGTAAGTGCAAGTATTATCGACAAGACTTTATCTTCGCATGTTGTGTGACGACGACTCGGCCTCACTGCCCGTCAGATAACTCGATACTATTTTATATATTTATTTAATTAATGTATTTTTACTAATGCAATTCACATTCACCGTCCATAGCTACCCATGTATATCGTAAGATAAAAATATATAGATAACGAATTGTATTATACTATATTATAAGTAAACACATTACTAATGTAATCATCAATGATTACGATTTCAGCAAAAGACGCAATTTTTTGTCAATTTATGTAAAAGTGGCAATGACTATATATCTTCGTATATCAGAATCGTAACTGTGATTAGGTACCTATGTACTATCAACCAGATGTTATCAGGATCTGACGATATTGGTTTTCATCCTATGTTTCACGGCTATCGCTCACACTGATATTGCAGATTTTTTTACATGTTAACTATGCTATTAATATCTCACTATCGCGTTTTTAGATATTACCGTTCATTATCAAAACCTACTCTTTGAAAATTTTACTTTTAAATAGTATTTAAAGCTCAGGTGTATACTGTTGCGCGTCTGACCTTAACACCCACACAAACTAATATCGTAGTATTAAATTAACGGTATTTTTAACTGCTTATCTTCTTGACAACTTATGTACCTGTAGGTAAGAATTAGTGATAGGTGTAAAATAGGTCAGTTTGTAGACATAATCCAGGTCAACGCCGTTGCTTGTTTAATACTTAGTGCATTTTCAAATCTGTCCGCCACTCGCTCTATCTTTATTGGAGATCGTTTACCTTGCAAGGAAAAACGCGGGAACGATAAATCTTTAATCTGTGGACTGCCGATTACAGATTCCACGTGGAATTACAGACTTTATCATGCTTGATTGAAGCAATTGGTTGCTTAAAATTAATCTACAAAGAGTTAAATATGTGAATGGACACTTTAATTCCTTCTCATTAAAGACGGGTAAAACCTTAAGTTTCTTATGGGAATTCAAAATGTATACGAATGATTATCCCGCCTATATAAAAATATAACTTTTTTCTTAGTGTGGTGCTCAATACCAACTAAGTACTGCAGTTTTCATAGATGGTGGTAGAAATACAGTTTCACATTGAAAACTCTAATTTTAAACATAATAATAAGCAGGCCAGGGAACTACAGTGTTGACCGCTTACAAAATACTCCTTGTAGGTGAAGTCGCGTGTCGTTATCAAGCTATGTATCTTGAACAAACAGACTACGTTAAGGCGATGACGCGGCCGCTATTGATTTTGACTGATAGAATCGCAACTCCGACTTACAGTGCCAGCAAACAAACCTTTCTCAGATACCGTGCACATTTATATGGTTTTCTATACTAATATTATAAAGAGGTAAAATTTGTAAGTTTGTATGTAGTTTGTATGTGTGGAACCGCTGGTCGGATTGCCAAACTTCTTTCACTGGTAGATAGCTTCAATGTTCCTGAGTGCTATAGGCTATAAAACATCACGCTACGATTAAATGAAGCCGAGCAGCGAGTGAAACCGCGCGAGAGTTTAGTTATAAATTTAAATGAAACATAGTCTTGCTGCATACACTTTTTCACATATGTATTCTAATATCTACAGACTAATTTTGTTCTTTTGTTAGAATTTAATTGTAATTGTAATGAATTCTTTAGTTTGATTTAAATTCAGTGTAAAATTGTTTCGCTGTTAAATTGTTTTTAGACGTTTAAATAAAAATGATGACCTATTTTTGTCATTTTTAATTTTTAATGAAAGCTTCATTTAGCGATCTCTGATTTTATCAAAAATCGACATTCTATTTAAATTGATGTCACTATCGCATATTCTATCTTTGTAGTGAAATAACTTAAAATTTTTGAAGTTAGGTAATTATGGCATATTATGGCACTTTTTTCTAACTAAAACTTATAGAAAATTAGAAT